TTATGTGCACCCAGGTGCTCTTTCCTACTGGAAGAATGACTGGGAGATAGTCTTCAGCTGTCTGCTCACTTTTAGGCATTTCTAGAACATAGATCATGTCTCTTCCTGGTAACATTCACATTTGTTAATGGTCCATATGCAGGTGTAGGAGCCCAGTCATCTTGGCCCAACTCTGGACAATTTTAAATGCTTCGTTCAAGACCATCATTGTACCTGTGACAGCTAGATCAATCCTGGCCTATCTTTCTCTATTTCCTACCCTTCAACATACTTGGCCTCCAGGGTTCTCTTGCTTAAGATATTTAGTTTACTTCCCAGGGGAGGGCAAGCAAAGCTGGATCAAGCTCAAATATGAGGATGAGAAATTATATTTGGAATCTATTTCTTCTAGAGGAGAAGTCAAGGCTCTTTATTATTACTTTAAGGTCCAACACAGTCAAAACCTCTCACTCAGATATGTCTTTCAATAAACTACTATTGGCATTGAAGAGGTCACCATAAGCTTCAGAAAGTTCCTTATCATTTTTAAAGAAAGACAATCAAGGTAGGGGTCTTTGTCAAGCAGAGGGAAAGAGTTTGTCTCTCTCAAATCAGCCAGTGTATTATCTGGTGAGTTTTTAGAATCTCGCTGTAATTTATTCTGTCTCTCTTTGAGGTTGTGCTTCAGATGAAAATAATCTTCAATATTTCTGACTCATCTTTTTTTCATTTTCCAAATGCTGAAGTTTTGTATGGGTTTAGGTCATATCATCTTTGATAATAAGGGAACAAGCTCCCTGGTCTATCAATTTTTTAATGAAGTGATTAGTAATATACAAGTAGGGCCTAAGGGTTCAGGCCAGTTCATCAGCCTCCCTTGGCTACAGTAGGTTTCTCAAGTGTGCTTGTATCACTCATTTGCAGAAAGATCTAGAGATGATTCTTTTTGTTCAACTTCTTGGTGGCAGAATACTTGGATGAATACTTACAAAACTTAGCACACACAGACATAATAGCAGAAACATACTTTGTAATATTAATAAGTGCTTTCCTTTTCCATACTGACTTCTGTTCTTTGAATTTTCTTTCTTTTTTGGGGGGGGGTCCGTTTGTGGGGCCTGAACTCTGGGCTTGGGCACTGTCCCTCAGCTCTTCAGCTCAAGGCTAGCACTCTGCCACTTGAGCCACAGCGCCACTTCCGGCTTTTTTCTTTTTGCTGAGGAATCGAACCCAGGGTCTCATGCATGCAAGGCAAGCGCTCTACCACTGAGCCACCTTCCCAGCCCCGCTTTGAATTTTCTTATCATTAACATTTGCACCTCTGTGCCTGCAGGCTCCTGCCCCACCCCAAGTCTATTGGCATTCTCATTCTATTGATCCAGGAAAGGAATGTGTAATTCAGAAAGTGGTGCACAAGAAATAATAAACTTGGACAAAACTGTGAGTTATTGTCTCTAAAAACAGATAAAGGTGCTTAGGCTAGGGCCTAGACAGCCAATAGAGCATAGGGGAAGATGAAGGGAGTTAAGTAGTCAAGAGAACCACTAAGACTGGTTTGGGGTGTTCATGATGTGGCTAAATGATATATCTGGGCAAGCAGGGATGATTGTATGGCTCAGGGAGGCTGAAAGTTTCTAAGATGCCTGAGAAGAGCCTAGAGGTAGTGAGGTAGAGCCAGACCAAAAGGGGCTTTACAAGCCTGAGCAAGGGATGGTACAGTGATGCTCTGACCTTCAAGGGAAGGTCAGATGAAAAGGTACATCTATCAGGCAATGCTAATAATCCAGAAGACCAAATGTTCTTTCAAAAATATACACTTAATCCTGACATTACTCCAGAGATTCTGATAAAACTCTAGTCAGAGTAAAGTGGTCTTGTTTGGGTGTGGTAATTCCAGCTACTACTGGGAGACACAGGCCAGTCCTGGGCAAAAATGTAAGAACCTATTCAAAATATAACTAACACAAAAAAGAGCTAGGGACATGTTCAAGTGGTTGAGCATCTACCTAGCAAGTGTGAATTTCTGAGTTCAAATCCTAGTACTGCCAAAAAAAAAAGAAAGAAAAGAAAGAGAAAAAAGGAGGAAAATGAGAAAACAGACTTCAAACAGAATTTTAGCTGATAGTGAAATAAACATAAAGAGCCAAAAATCCTGGGAAAAAAATCTCACAAGGCTATTGTCCTTTCTAGTATTTGGTCTTTTTTTGGTTTATCTGATGTAATAAAAAAAAAGTCAACTTTATACCAATTTAAAGCTCCTCTTCTTTTCCCTGTAACTATATACCCTGAGGCTAGAAAATGTCAAGGTCTGCTTTTTTATTCTTCCTGTCACTCCTCTACTCGACCCCTTCTTCTTGTCTTCTCTAAGAGGGTGTTATTTCAATAAAATCTCTGAGATGATGATATTTACTCTATTCTGTTGCTCTATACTTTCTGGAATGCTGGATCTTTGTGGACACTTCTTGGATTTTTCATAAGCTCTTCTTCTACTTCCTTGTAAAAAGAATTTGACACAATATCTGATGTGAGTCATGCATTCTTTGGTAAATTTCTTGTAAGTACATATATTTATGACAGGATTCCTTGCCCTAGATGATCTTCTTAGGGAGAAGCCTAGCTTTTTAAATTTTTCCTGGATTTCCCTTCACTTCCAGGAATATTATATGTCCTCTACCTGTCAATGAAAGCTGGTCTAGCCAGCCTCTTGCCTTCAGAATTTGTAAGGAAAGGGGATACACATAACTTTCTACCTCTAGATCTGCTTTCTAAATTCAATTTTCCCCAAGCATTCTGAGGCAGGCTCATGAGCAGCTTTGTAGGGGTTTAGTCTGGAATTTAGTGCCAGTCTTCTTTTGGCAAGGAACTCTCTCCCATCAAGTAGGCCGGATAAAGAACGAAGGAAAACATTAAGCTGAAGATGCAGAACAACAGTCTTCTCATCAATGATCTCTGGTGGGTAGGCTGTCATTGTTAAAACCTAAGGACAAGTTTGGCCATTTCTTATTAAACTCTGGAAAGAGGGAGCTCTTAAACTGATTTCCTTAGAAAGTGGACGTTGTTATCACCTGTTGGCCACAGTTTTAGTTTTAGGCACACCTCTGAGTTAAATGTACTATTATATATTTGGCTATTTATATCAGTGTAAACCTTTAAAACTTCATCCTGCTGGGTACCAGTAGCTCACACCTATAATCCCAGCTACTCAGGAGACAGATCTAGGAATGGAGATTCAAGGACAGCCTAGGCAGGAAAGTCCATAGATTCTTACCTCTAGTTCACCACTAAAAAGCCAAAAGTGGAGCTTTGGCTCAAGTAGTAGAGTACTAGCCTTCAGCAAAAAAGTTCAGGGACAGCACCTAGGCCCAGTACCTGCACAAACAAAACTAAGAAACAAACAAACATATCTTGCTATGTGAAAAAAAATCTATCTTAAATAGTACCATTTATCCAGTGTTTACAATGTACCAAGAGTTTTTTAAATGCACTAAATGCATAAATAGCTTACACTAAACTGAGATAGGGAACCTGAAACCCAGTAGATGAGTCAGAATTTGAACCCAAACCTGACTGATTTCAAAACTCAGTCTAAATACAAAGAGTAGTATAGTTCTGTATAGTGCAATTGTACCTCATGAGCTATAGAATTGAGGTGCGATACAATTATAAGGGAGGGAAGAATTGATGCTCATCACACGTTCAATAATGTACATACTACTATTTCTTTTACATACTAATTCAGTTCAACACATAATGAGCTCTCTCTTGCATTCTCTCTCTCTCTTTCATGACAAACACTGTGGTAGATGCTAGGAATACATTACAGAAACCAAGCTAAAATCATTGTCTTTATGGAAATTCAAATTCATTATATTCTTAGTGTAATTATTATTATTTTTTGCATTATGTATTTGTATTATGTGACATGAAATGTGCTATCATTACCAAATGAAGGCTTAGGAAGAATTTTACTACTTAAAATATGTCTTCATACCAAACATATTTGGAAATCTCTGATATTTAATTCTATTGAAAGGATAGGGTCTACTAAATGAGGGAGGAGTTTGTTTACAGTTATATCCAGCATGCGGCTAATAAATCTAGGTCATAGAGGAAATATTGAGCAATCTCCGTGGGAAATGGATCTCATTTACCCACCACATTGCTTGATACGAATTATAATGACTGTCTTAGTAAATCAGGATTATAATTTTGTTGATGATAATAAGAAATCTCTAGAACAAAGTATTTGACAAGGAAGCAGATGATCTCTTCTTCTCTTCTTTACCCCCTGACGTTTGGACTTTGAAGTCCTTTTTAAAGCCCTTACAGAAGAAGTGAACCCAAACAAAGTTCAAAAGTCACATTTGACCTCGGTTTTAAGTTCTTAAGACCTGTAGGGAAGAGGTACCTATACACTTAAGTACTAGTCAAGGCCGACTTCCTTTGTTTAACCAAAAGAAGTGTTAGTAAGGGAGCGTTAGGTCCTCCTTCCCTTGCTGGGCCACTGCTGGGAGCTTAAGCAAAAGCTACCTGGTCTTCAGGACGATGGTCATGAGAAGTATTATTCCCTATGCCAGATAAAGAAAATGCAGGGGGAGAACACTGGCCGAGGACACGGCAGTGCTGTTCACCTCGCTTTGTTATACTCCCTCCGATTGCACACCCTAGCCTCCCCCCCCCCCCCCCCCCCGGACTTGACCCGCTACCCTCTCACTTCCTTTTCCTCGAGCTTCCACTGAAGCGGTCAAGTTGGATCATAAACTACATTTCCCACAATGCCACGCTCCGACCAGCCTTCCACAGGGGTTCCCTGAAGCTGCTCTCATCATTAAGACGAACAAAACCCCCATTTCTGAGAAGAACCGAGTTATTCTCTGCTCGTCAGATTGGTTTATTCTTTTTCTTCTCCACCTGCGACCCTACGGTGTTCGGTGACGAGGCTCTGCGGAGGCCAATTCGTTCAGGCGACTGCTGTGGCCACCCTCTCCTCGCGCCCCGGCCTCGCTCAGGCCCCCGGGGGGGGGCTTACGAGTGTCATTGGGGGAATGACCGCAGCCTTTGCGGTTGCAGCTGCCACCGCGACCATGGTCTCCGGCAGCAGCGGCTTGGTCGCTGCCCGCCTCCTGTGCCGCACTTTTCTGTGTGAGTCGGCCGGGGAGTCTGTCTTCATGGTCTCCGCGGGTTCCGGGGCCTGCAAGGCCCAAAGTCCTGGTCCAGGCCGCGGCCGGGGCGGAGCCTCGCCGGGGGCGGGGGGTCCGCGGGACCCTGACCCCAGTGGGACCCCTCCAAGGACGGAGAGGGTTGGGCTGGATTCGCGGGCCGCTGGTGGGTGGCATCGCGGGGTGCCTGAGCTGGGACTGGGGTGCCGGGGGCCCCCCAGACCTGACTGCAGTGGGATGGGGTTGGCAGCTAGACGGGCCCTTCTGTGGAGCCAGGGGTGGAGAGGCCTGGGCTGAACGCAGCGTGGGAGAGGAGCAGGGGTCTCCTTGAACAGAGAGGGTCCGTCCGTCTGTTCGGATTGTAGGGCCACCCGCCAAGGCAGTTTGTCCATCTCGGGTTAGTGTGGCTCTGTAGACTCCTACCGGGAAACCTAGGTTTGCTTGGCTGGGACTTTAACCAGATTATTCGTACTATCTCCACGAGGACCTCATTTTACTAGTTTTTGAGCAATGCTGACTCTTGGAAACATCCTTGCTGTGTTCGAAGTCTCTGTCTTTGTTCGGTAACTTATAGAGAAAACTTTGGAATTAGTCACGTCAGGGTTTGAAAGCTTGGTAGTTCTTTTACCCTAGTCTTGATTTCTCAACTAAAGTTTCAAATCACACGCGAAATAACACTGTTTTAATGAATCTGGGGTAACATCACATGGAAGGTGCACCTATATTTGGCCTTCCACCCGCAGTGAAAATGACTGTTAATTAAAATTGTGACACATGATTGGTGGGTAAGATTTAAAAGATGTTAAGTGAAAACATATGCATCTTTGAAATGATGTACAGGATGAACTGTGCCCATTGTACAGAATATACTAATTGGTTTATTTCTCATATAGCAGAGGCATTCAAGTAAGGTTCATTCCCCCTTCTTTGTTTCCACTTTGCTTCAAGCTCTGCTTGTATTAAATATTGGATGAGACAGTTCTTTTCTTGAGAAGGCTACTTTCTAAAAGTGTGTAGTGACCAGAGTGCACTGAAAAGCTACATTTAGTTACCAAAACCATTTGAAGACAAAGGTCTGGCCAGTGATTTTGCCAATAGGAAAGGGTTGTGTTTATTTGGATTTTTTTTTTTATAATTTAAAGGACGAGTGAGGTTGTTTTAGGTGAAGGAGGGGTGGATGAGAAAGGAGGATTAATCAGTTATTAATCTCATCAGTAGAGTATGAGCACCAGGAATGAGGTAGTACTGAGTATGAGCCTTCCTTCATCTGAATAGGATGTGGGTTAAGATACAGATGAGCAGCTAAGCTGAGGTTGGGAAGCACAGGGAAGGGTTGCCCACCTGTGCACTTTCCTCTTTCCTGTGGTCTCGCTGGACCAAGATTCTCAAAGATTCTAGCTGCCTATAACTCTACTGTCTTAATAGACTCTGGAGAAGAAAAGAAGATTTTGAAAGGTGCAGTTCCTTAACTTACTCTCAGCAAAACTTAACATCTTTTCCCAAAGGATTCAAATTTTTTTATGGACCCCTTAAGGGGCTGGTGGCCTTAAAGAGGCTACCTGATTAGTTTTCAAGTATCTAAGTGATGTGATTAACATGTTAATAAGAATCTGAGAGGGCTAAGAGTCAAACCAGAACATTTCCCATATTAGAACTGGGTTTCAGATGGTAATATTTAATGTGTAAAAAGGCTGTTAAGTTTGCAAAACCTTTAACTCCTCCTTTGCATGCCACATTTCTAACTCCACTTTCCCTCCTAGGAAAACAGCCACATCACCTTGCAAACTTTAAAAAGTGTTGCAATATTGATTTGAGTTAAAAAAAAGTAAACACTAATAGATGCCTTCCAGAGCCTTTCCAGACCTTCCAGAGGCTGATTTAGAATGTTTAGAAACTCATGCACTGCCTTCCACCTCCAGACCCCCAGTTTCTCATCTCACGAAAGTAGAACAGACCAATTGAAATAAGAAGGAAAAATAAAATGGATAATGAAAAATATTTCTCCCATGAGAATATTTAAGAATTTTGTAAGGATTTTTGAGGTTGAAATAGTGAAGTTTTAAAAAGAAACCTAAAGCAATCAGTGGAAGGTCTTTTGAAACATAAATCAGAAGTTTGTAATAAATCCAGTTTGTTAGAGTAAAAGGGAATAACAGCAAATAATTTTGAACCTAGGAATTATGGTACTTAATGCCAGAAAGTGCATCTTTTGGTCCAATTGATCCTACACCTGGAACCCAGGTCTTCTGACAGTATGCTTTCCATTAATGTGTACTTACTTCATGACAGCTTGTACTTCTTTTTTTAAAAATATATAATATATATTTGTGCTTCTTTTTTGAGGTTTGGCTTTTTGTTTTTGTTTGGCAGTCTCAGTGGTTTGTTGAGAAGATGACCACCTTTCTTAAAGGTGCCACTTGCCTTTTTCATTGCCTGTTTATTGAAGTAAGAAAACATTTGGAAAAGATCACAGTGATTTTTCTGATTCTAGGAGCTATTGTTTGCATCACAAATTGATTCTAGAATTTATTGCCATTTTGTTTCACAAATACAAAGTAGAATGGATTCAAATATACCAAAGTGATTTGATTTTAAACTTCAAACTTGTTTTTTAAAAAATAAAAATATTCATACTAATTTATCTTAAATATAAGAAAGTAATTACATTTCAGCAAAGGAAGTCATTTTACTGTCTTAGACTATTTACTACTTTTCTTTTTCCTTTTTGTCAGTTGTGGGGCTTGAACTCTGGGCCTGGGTGCTGTCCCTGAGCTCTTTTACTCAAGGCTAATGCTCTACCTTTTCAAGCCACAGCACCACTTACCGTTTTCTGATGGTTAATTGGAATCTCATGGATTTTTCGGCCCAGCCTGCTTTGAACTACAGTTCTCAGATCTCAGCCTTCTGAGCAGCTTGGATTACAGACATGAGCCACTAGCACCTGGCTAGGCTACTTTTTTTTTTAAAATAAGTTTTTTATTGTGAAAATACCGTACAGAAGGATTACAATTAATTGAGCAAGCATTGTTGCCTTCTCCTTTGTTTTACCCCTACTATCTCTGCTTTCCCACCTCCACGACTACACTCCCTCCCCACCCCTTGCCAAAGACTACTTTTTAAAGTATATTTTTCCTTTTCTTTCCCCTCCCTCCCTTCCTCTCCTCCCTTCCTCCCTTCTTCCTTTCCTCCCTCCCTCCCTCCCTCCCTCCCTCCCTCCCTTCCTTCTTTTGAATTCAAGCAAATGTTCTACGCCTTCAGTGCTTTTTTGTTCTTATTTTTCAGATAAGCTCTCATACTTTTTTCCTGGAAAATGATCTTTGAATCTATACTTCCTATGTAGCTGGGGTTATTGGCATGTACTATATTGCTTGGCATAACATTTCTAAAATTAGAATGTCTTATAATTGATATATTTTAGAAAATATTTTTCTTTCTTACTAGTACTTACTAGTATTTCTTAAGAACCATTGGTGATTTAGATTTGTTGAACTATGTTACTTAGAACCAACTAAATCAATATTAAGTGATTATATATGTCAATATTAAGTGTACATAGAACTTTGCTTTTGAGTAGCAGGTTGTTTGGGATTTTTTTTTTTTTTTTTGGCAGTCATGGGGCTTGAACTCTGGGCCTGGGCATTGTCCCTGAGCTCTTCAGCTCAAGGAGAGTGATCTACAACTTGAGCCACAGTGCCACTTCCAGTTTTTGGTGGTTAATTGTAAGAGTCTCATGGACTTTTCCTGCCTGGGCTGGCTTTGATCCTCAGATCTCAGCTTCCTGAGTAGCTAGGATTACAGGTGTGAGCCACTGGAGTCTGGCATTTAGGATTTTTAATAACTCTTCTAGGTAGGCTATTGTATTGTATTTGTGAGGTCCTATATATGGGGACCACAATAGCCTTTGTATTACATACACATCATACATATGGTTAATGCTGTGATTTGGATATATTTGAGTGTCTCTCAAGAGTTCATGTCCTGCTGGGCACTGGTGGCGTGCATCTAAGACTCTAGCTACTTAGGAGGCTGAAATCTTGAGGATTTTAGTTGGAAGTTAGCAGGGGGGCAGGGGGGAAGAGGGAGGATGTTAGACAAAGCTCTAATCTCTAATTGATGAGTAAAAAAACTGGGAATTGCTGGCATAGCTCAAGTTGTAGAGTGCCAGCCCTAGACAGAAAAGCCAAGCAAGAGCACAAGGCTGTGAGTTCAGGCTCTAGTACTGGCACAAAATAAAAAATTCATATCTTGGATACTTGATCTCAGTGCTGGTAATATTAAAAATATGGTCAGATTTTAAAAATATATAATTTTATTATTAGTAAGATGTTGTACAGAGGAATTACCATTGTATACGTCAGGTAATGAGTATATTTGTTTTTGGACATCACCCGTTCTTTTACTTTCCCCCAGTAAAAGTGATGGAATTTTTAAGAGTGGGAGGCATTAGGTAGGGGTATAATCCTTAGAAGAAATTAATGTTGATCTTTAGGAGTGAGTTCTTATTAGAGTGGATTGCTATAAAGCAAGGCCACCCATGCACTTGGTCCTTATTTCCCTTCCTGCCTCTCTGCCAGGCCACAGTGCAGCCAAAGGGGCTCTTATCAGAAGTTAAACAGATGAGACTGTCCAATCTGAGGCTTTCAGCTCCTCAAACTATGGACCAAATAAAGCTTTACTTGTACTGGGGATGTTACTCAAGTGGTAGAGCCCTTATGTAGCAAATGTGAAGCCCTGAGTTCAATCCCCTGTATCTCCAAAACAGAAGAAAAGAAAAAACAACCCATGGGCTGGGAACGTGGCTCAGTGGTAGAGCACTTGCCTTGCATGCATGAGGCTCTGGGTTCGATTCCTCAGCACCACATAAGCAAAAAGAAAAAAGCTGGAAGTGGCACTGTGGCTCAAGTGGTAGAGCGCTAGCCTTGAGCTGAAGAGCTGAGGGACAGTGCCCAGGCAACCCATTTTTATTCCTAATTAGATAGCCATAGGTATTCGATGCTAACAACAAAAATTGACTAATATAGTTAATAAGTATAAACTTGTTAAATTCATTAGTTGATGTATAATTGTACTCCTTTTCCCTGTAATACTGAGGGGGCCTCCCACTTGCTTTGCTTGATTGCTCAGCTGGCTCTCTACTACTTAAGTCATGTCTCCAGCCCAGCTTTGCTGGTTATTTTGTAAATGGGATTTTCTGTTCAGGCTGGCTTTGAACCACAGCTCCTCCAGATCTTATCCTCTTGAGTAGCTAGGATTGCATGTATGATCCATGATTGTCTAGCTAGTTTGTACGTTGTTAGTTTTGTGTTTCTCTGTTTCATGTGTAGTTCTCTTACAGAGAGCTTCATGTGTATAGGGTCTAAGTCTATCCAGTTTAGACTTCAGGAATCCCTATGACCTAGTAGATAGCCTGCTACCATGAGCATCTCAAAGCAGTTTGGTCTGTTCATTCTACATCAATAATGATAGCTGTTAGTAATATATCACTTATGCCTTAGGTATTTTTTACGTGCTTTATAATGAGGCCTTTACACATGTCTCACATTGAAAATTTATCAGTGTATTTGTTCATGAGGACATATATAGCTTTTTGATTGGACTTGATTTTAAAATATGAATTATATGGTTTCTCTTTTTAGCAAAAGATTTCCCTTTGTGCGCAAGTAGGATTTGGGAGATGTACCAGGCACTTCGATAACTAATCTACAGTCATCATCTCATATTAACACCACAGTCTCCTTGTGGGCAGCTGTTTATTCCATTTACAGATGGGAAAACTAAGGCTAAGGGAGATCAAAAGACATGCAGTACGTCACATGACAGAGCAAACAGCCCAGGCCTGTTTGATTTCTGAGACACCATTCTCATTTGCTCCTGGGATACAGTACCAAGTTAGGCTGGCCAGTTTCTGAGAACTTGAAAAGAAATGATAACAGCACATCCTCTGGAGGTGGCCTAGGTTGTAGCAGCTATAGTCCTCACCATCAGGGTATTCATGGTGGCCCATTCAGGCCTTCTTGCTTGTTCAGTCTTAATTTAGAATGCTCACTTTCTCATTACTGGTGAGTTCAACTTCTCATTATGTGTTGATTTGCCATTTGTCATTAGTTGTGTGTCTAGGGATGGGCCATAGAGAAGGTAGGTTGGTGACTTACTAGGGGAGGTCCAGAAGGTAGCCTATAATTTTAGTTTTTTTCCTATTGATTTTTGAAATAGGCAGTTGGTTTTTGTAACTTCCAAATTTCTCATTTTCCATCAAGTAGGTTGTTAAAAATAGGTATTTTTTCCCGCAAGGTTTCCTTCTGTCATCTATTTTCCTAGACACTTTATTTTCCCTATTTCTTATTGATATGAGTTATACCAAAATGAGTCAACTAAGTAATTTTGGACTATATTTAAATCACTGTGAGGAGTTAGTTGCAGGTAGATCTTACTCTTATCCCTGACAATGTAGGTCTCTTTGCTCACCTGTTTACAGGTACTAGGCTTTAAAAAGTTTGGTCAACTGGGAAACGCCTTTGGCAATTTTGTATATATTATTAGTAGAGATTATACTAAATTTTCAGTGCCCTGGGCTTAATTTGAGCCATTCAGTTTTGAACCCATTTCCTTTCTGAAGACTGAAAATCATAACTTCAGCTTTCTTTTTTAGTGTAGAAAAAGCTGCAAGTTAGGAGTCTCAATAGAGAAAATATTGGAGGAGAGAGCAGAGATCTTTTTGTATTTCTAATTAATTTTGTGGTCTGTGTGTCTCATTTAAATTTGCCATTATCACAGTATAGCTCTTGTACTAGAGGATATTTTTTGTTGTCAAGTTGAATTCATGGTTAAAAGTTTGGAAAATTATGTGTCATATTTTCTTTCCTCATAGTGCAACAGAATGGAATTCGGCATTGTTCCTATACAACTTCCCGGAAATATCTCCATGTTGATAAAAATACAAAGGTTATTTGTCAGGGTTTCACTGGTAAGCAGGTATGTATATTTAGATTTTTGTTTAAACGTAGACTATATATATATACACACACATACATAGTGCTTAATCAGAGCTAAGAGTCTCATGGACTTTCCTGTATGGGCTAGATTTGAACTGTGAGATCTCAGATCTCAGTCTCTTGAGTGTGAACTACTGGCACCTGGCTTATTTTCTACTCTTAATATCACTAAGGTAGTAATACATTATTGATACAGGAAAATATGCTGTACAGTAGTGGTACTGCCTCTCAAGAAGAGGTTAGATGGTGCTAGAGTTAGTCTGTGAAATGAAAATTGTCTTTAAACTTACCTTGAAAATGCATAGGAGTGTACTGTGTTTGAGATCCATGCTCAGTCTTTTTTTTTTTTTGTGTTGGTTGTGGGGCCTGAACTCTGGGCCTGGCCGCTGTCCCTCAGCTCTTCAGCTCAAGGCTAGCACTCTACCACTTGAGCCACAGGGCAATTCTGGCTTTTTTTTTTCTGCTTATGTGGTGCTGAGGAATAGAACCCGGGGCCTCATGCATGGTGAGGCAAACACTCTACCACTGAGCCAAGTTCCCAGTCCCATGTTCAGTCTTTTAGCAAGCACAACACTAGTGGCTTTCCTTGAATGTTGGGACAGATCACTGTTTCTTTGAGCAATAGATGAAAGATATTATTTACATCTAAATCTCATACAAAAGAATACTCATTGTTAACTATTGAATCCACATCCAGTATGCACAGAACCAGAGAGGCTCATGGGAATTGAAATGGGTAGAGGAACCAGCATTGGGAACTTCTCTTTCCCATCTCATACTCCCTGGGACAAATAGACAGATCAAAAGACAGACTTGCCTTATTTTAATTGGAACTCATTCACTTCAGATTTTGCATCAGTATAAATATATCTATGCAGTAAAATGAAACATAATCCTTCCCTTTTCTTTTTTCTGATTATTATACTCATTAAGAATTCCTTTTGTTGGCAGTATTCTTGCAGATGAAAAATATGTGCACCTTGGTTCTCTTTCTGAGACATAAACATAAAATTTCAGCATTTTTTCCTTAATTCAAAAAATGCTGTAAGATTGTGGTACTCAATAAAGAGGAGATTCTAGAGAGTAGAGCAGGGCCTTTTTTTTCTTTGTTTTTCGAATTTATGTCTGAGATCTGTGTGTCTCATTTAAAAACAAATTTAATTTATATGATGTGTATTGTACAGCATTTGTACTATGGACTTCTATATAGGCAGAGTTGTGTTTCAGCAAAACCTAATTTACACTATCAGATGATAGGACAGATTACTGACCATTTTTTACAAACCCTTGATCTTAATGGTGCTACCTAATTTGGCAGGCATTTTATAATATTTCTACATGAAGATATTTTGGCATGTACACATTCTAATAAAAGTAGATGCTCCTCTAATATTGAAAGTATTCTACCACCTCCTTTCCAATTTAAATTATATTCAACTCATTAATATATATTAATATTCTTAGCATATGATCAAATTCTTGATTAACACAATTTTTAAAAGTTGTAAGATATGGTTCTCAGTGAACAGAAGGAGGTCTTTGTGTCTCATTTGAAAACAACTATTTTTTATTTATGTAATGTGTGTCTTACATGTGTGCTATGGAATTGTATATAGGCAGGGTTTTGTTTTCAACAAGTTTTCTATTTGCTAAGCTTCATATGGTCCTATAAAATTTTATGACTTTTTCATAAGAATCATTGTCCCTTAGTGTATGTACTATTTGGAATCATTGGGTGAAATATTTGCTTAAATACTTCAATTAAAGGGTGATTTCAAAGTTAGTGGTCTTTTAGTTACTGCAACTAAATTGTTTTGCACTCACTTTTTTTGTTTTACTTTTTAAGTAATTGAGAGCCTTAAATGCCTCAGTTAGATTTGACTAAAATTCCCTTATTATAAGTTAAGGTGTGAAATTTAGAACTTAACCTCTTCAAGACACTGCTGCTTATATCTTTTTTTTCCATAATGCATACATTTTTCTACATTATGAATGAAGAATGTTTGTATTTTTGAGTAGATGATTCCAGCAATTTCCAATTAGTTATTTCTTTTCGTAGCTTTTGTAAGCTATTAAAATTATTCTTAACTATGTGCTGGCTGATAATTAGAAAAATAACAGAAATAAATGCTACTCCTGTTTAGCTCCACATTGGGATTAAAAATGTGGTTCATTTGAATTTACTTGACAGTGTAGTCTATAGTAATGCTTGTCAAAGTCTGGAATGAAATATTGGTTTGGGTATTTGCTTTTAATTTCTCGTGTAATGCTGATTAGTACTTTTGTAAAGGACAGCAAAAGTTACAGCAGTACTACATTACTGTTTACAAATATTTTTTCTTTTTTAAATTAGATTTTTCAGATCTTCTATTCCTTCCCTTCCTCCTTTTTTCCCCTCCCTCTTTCCTTTTATTTTATCTTTGCAGACCAACAAGTCTTTGAAAAGCATCATTTTAAGAGAACAGACCTGTAGTTCTTTCTAACTTTGTTTCTTAAACTAGTCACTTAGCATGCTTAGGGCCAAGTTCCCTAAATAATTGTCTTAGCATTTTTAGGTCATTGTAGATTGTATAACTTTTTTAACAAGTGCTTTTTATTCCTTAGGGCACTTTTCATAGCCAGCAGGCGTTGGAATATGGTACCAAACTCGTTGGAGGAACCACTCCAGGGAAGGGAGGCAAGATGCATCTGGGCTTGCCAGTCTTTAATACTGTGAAGGAGGTAATTAATGGCACCTGGATTTGACCATCAGAGAAGGAGGGGAAGAGCAAGCATTCTTTGGGTACAGATCTTAATTATATCCCTTTTGGGAGGGTCATTTAGGTTTTGAATACAGTAACCTAGAGAAATTTGAATTGTGGTAAGAACTACTGTGCCATTTTTATTGGCAGATAGGACTCATCTATTAAGGGAAGAAGCACTATGGCCTGGCATCTAGCTGGCTTACCTTCCACCCAGAATGGCGACTACTATGCCAGAAGTACAGTTGCCAGTACCTACACCTCACACGTACTTTGAGTATGGATGAGGGTAGGTGCTATGCTAGGTGCTTCATGCACAGGCTTGAGCACAGCTCTAAGGGCCAGATGTTCTTATCAGCCTTGTTTTCTAGCCAAGGACAATACTATATGCAGGTGATGAGTGGTGCAATTTTATGCAAGCTAAATTACAGAGTCAACTTGACCAGTCCCTGGATCTACTTTCTTCAAATTGCTGATTTCTTAGAATATAATCACAAAATGAGTGCTGCTGTTCTTGAAATCATCAGCATTTAAAAACCAAATTTTGGGTCTTTAATTTATAAAACTAATATGTACTGATTGTAAAATTCAGATGCTGTAAGGTAAGTAAAGTAAAATTCCGTGTCTTAGGTTTGCCTCTATATTTGTAAAGCTAATTTAAGCTCAGTGTATATTTTTTTCCTTCTCTAGGATTTACATAAAATAACATTTTTAGCTGGACACTGGTGGCTTGGCCTGTAATCCTGGCTACTTGGGAGGCTGAGATTTGAGAATTGTGTTTCAAAGACAGACTGGGCAGAAAAGTCCATAAAACTCTTATCTCCAATTAACCACCCAAACAAAAAAGTGGAGTTGTGGCTCAAGTGGTAGAGTGCTAGCCTTCAGTAAAAAAACTCAGGAACAGCTCTCAGACCCTGAGTTCAAGCTCCAGGACTGACACCCTTCCCAAACCCCCCCCCCCAAAAAAAAAAAAAAAACAACCAAAAAACAAAAACCACACACACACACAATTTAAAGAACCAATAGTGCAGCTTTTCAGGTTATTTAATAAAAATAGGGAATAAGCTCCGTACTCATGGTCACTATATTGAGAAATCCTGTATTTAGCTCTCCCATCTTAAGCATATTTTAAAGATAGATTTTATTTTAAATTAAACAAAACACTTTTATTGTTACTGTGAAGGTGATGTATAGAAGGGTTACAGTTAGATAAGACAGGTAATGAGTGCATTTCTTTTTGGACACCCCTTCCTTCACTCTCGCCCAGTTTTTCCCTCCCACCCCACTCACAAATTGCATAGTTCATTTTCATCATAGTGTCTAGTGAATGCCATTCTCAATTTCTTAAGCATACTTTAAAGGTATATTTAATTAGTTTTTAAACTTTTATTTTTTAAAGATATATATTAAAGTATTAATATTTTTAACGAATAAACTTACAGACCTAATCTGTTTTGAACTATACCATAATTGAGGTTAATTTGTATTCTTAATCCTAAAAGGCAGGAAAAAAAGCTAAATGTCCTTCAAGTTTAGTTTTTTATTTTAAACTTAAAGTATGCTATATGCAATTGTGATCCAAAAAGGAAAAAAAAAAGGTTACCGATCATAGGTTTTATATTTTTCCATTATTTTTAAAAGTTTTTTCCCACTATTTGAACTCTATTATACATCCCTTTATGATCTGAAAATATAGATTTTTTTTTGTAGAATCCCTCTAGGTAGACTTTTGTCATAAGTGGTTGACTTTTCTTTTTATAAGTGATTCATTTATTATTTATAGTGGTACAGATAGCTATGGCATTTGAATATTTTGTAAGTTCTTTGATATGTTCTGTTTCTTTCTTACTTATTCAGTTCTTACACAAGAACTTTTTGGATGAGTAGGAATGATCCCTTTCATTCAGTATGACTTCTCAGCACATAGTGCTTGTCACGGTATAGCTTCTGGCAGTGTTTGTAGCCTTACGAGGTGAAAACTACAAGATATATTTTTCAATAAAATGTTGCATGCCCAGGACCAACCTCAATTTGTTTCTTTTGTTCGTACTTTCCTATCATCATTGTGAACAGTTTTTGAAAAATTATTTCTGACCTCAACATCATTTGTGGATCATCTGTCTGTATCCTTTTCCTTTGCTCATCTGTCATTGTCAAGATGGCATTATAGTAGAGGTAGTCCTCAGCATCTGAGAATGTGGGCTGTAAATTCAGATTTTCAAAGATAGTCTTTTATTTTTGTCCCTTTTTCTTGTACCTGTATATTCTGAGCTCAGTATTTATATCAACTGTAAAATTCCATGGCACAGCCTTCTAGAATATTTTCATATCTTAATCTATGGGGAGGGAATGTGCTGTAATGGAAATGAGTGAACATTTTGGAATCATGTATACTGAAGTCCCAGCTGGGTGACCTTGTGCAATTATTTAGTGTGTCTTGACATCTTGATTTGTAAAATGGGGATATTTAGATTTAGGACTGTGGTGAAGCCTTAACTGAGTCTTGTATTAGAAATGTAGTGGAGAGAGTTGTCAATCTCTCAGAATGTGGAAATCATTCAGGGAAGATTTTCAGGGTGTTACAGAATGGATGTTACTGCTCTTGGAAGGTCAGAGATCACAGTACTCTATCCATTATCTTAGAAGAGACATGACCACGCAGAGAAATGGGTAGAAAGATGTATTTATGTTGATAGACGTAGCGCATGTGTAAAGGCCAAGTGTTTAGACCAAGCTCAGGTTCACAGAGAGAGCAGTGGTTAAGTTGATGCTCTCCAACTGCTTTGTGTTGTAAAGGTGAGAGCATTAAAACATTCTTATTTTAAGGTCACTCAGGCATGTGCCTCTTTTCTTGATTTGTTCATTTCTAATGAATATGCATTCAAAGTAAGAAAAATCAGATAAGAAAACTCCATTTTGTCAGATGTGATGAAGCAGATCTGAAATCCCAGCACTGAGGAGACTGAGGCAGGTGGGCCCTGCTGGTTATTACACTGTGAATTCATGAATATCCTGGATGAACAAAGATACTGTCTTGAAATAAAGAGAAGAGGAAAGATGAGCAAAGTCTCTTGGTGCTATTTGCGAAATGGTATATATTTTTAAGAAGATGTTTGAGAGCTAAGCTATAAGCACTTGAAGGCTCATTAGGTCTTGTAGGAGGTACAGAGGCAGTGCTTCAGGGTTACTAATGTGCTGTTATTTGAGGAAATGAGATGTCACAGAACTTTTCAACTTATAGTGCAATCAACTGATGTAGAGAACTGGCTGGTGACTGGTGAGCTAGACAGTGGGAAGAATGAAGACCTCTTATGTCTCCTGTGATGTCCCTTTCCCCTACACATTACTGAAATCATGGTATTGAATTTATTTTACAATGTTTATGACTTAACCAAACAAAGTGCTTTATGGTTAATTTTTCAGGCCAAAGAGCAGACAGGTGCCACAGCGTCTGTCATTTATGTCCCTCCTCCTTTTGCTGCTGCCGCCATTGATGAAGCTATTGAGGCAGAAATGCCATTGGTGGTGTGCATTACTGAAGGTATCCCACAGCAGGACATGGTGCGGGTCAAGTACAAACTGACACGCCAGGGAAAGACGAGGCTGATTGGCCCAAACTGCCCTGGAGTCATCAATGTGAGTTCACAAAGTAAAAAGATGCCAGATTTAGCCTTTTGCAAAGTGCAGTAGCTCTGAGTCTGTCCCAATATGTTTGTGTATGTGACTTAGGAGTTTATCATTTTTCTTTCAGCCTGGAGAATGCAAAATTGGCATCATGCCTGGCCATATTCATAAGAAAGGAAGAATTGGTGAGCAAGTTTGTTACTTTCTTCCAGATTTAAAAATTCTCCCAAACTTCAGATTCACAAAGAGAATTTATGACTATGCAAATCAAATTTATTTTAATTTTAGTAGAATTTACCAGGAAAGTTTTAGAGGGAATCAGTTCTATATCTCAAATATAATGGGTATATTTGAGAAGCAATTGCAATGCTAGAGAACCAATGAAGACTGGGTTTGGGGGAGGCCAGGAAGGGCCTGCATAAAGACATGTTTCTTGCTCAGCATTCATGATTGCCTGTAACAGTCATTTTATTATGTTATTGCTGAGTAGTAGTCTATTCTACAGCTTTATTACAGTTCCTTTTTTCATTTTCTCATATTGGGTTATTTCTTAAAAACAAGGTTTAGATGAACATCTATGTATAGACTTTGTAATGGGCACATTTTTATTTCTCTTGGACAAAATACCAGGAATGGAATTGCTAGTATATGAATATGGTCAACATTTTTTTTTTTTTTTTTTTGGCAGTACTGGGATCTGAACTTGGGGCCTTGTGTTTGTTAAGCAGACTCTGGTATCACTCGAGCTACTGCACCAGTCCTATTTTTTTTCTCCTTTTGTTATCTTTAAATTGTTGTTCAGAAGGGTTTCAGTTTAATGTTTTCACTTATGTGTATGATACATCTGGGTCAGCTTCACCACGCCCATTTGTCCCATCCTTATCCATCTCCTCAATTTCCAAGTTCCATTTTGAAGTGTTGTACATTGAGTATTATGGCTATTTGCCCACTGTTCCTCTTTGTATTCATCCATCCCCTTCCTTTTAGTCTCCCCCCAGTCCTCCCCTCCAATGAAGACCCTAGTTCTTTTTGGCTTTAGTTTTAGCTTAGTTTAGTTTTGTTATTGGGATTTGAACTCAGGGCTTCATACTCTCACGTGGCCTTTTTGCTCAGGGCCTGAGAAAGAAAGGCCTCCAGTTCCAACTCTGTGTGTGTGTGTGTGATTGTGTGTGTGTGTGTGTGTGTGTGTATGCATGCATATGCTTGCGCATGTGCTCTAGTCCTGGGGCTTGAATTCAGGACCTGGGTGCTGTCCCTCAACTTTTGGGCTCAGGGTTAGTACTTTCCCACTTGAGCCACAGGTCCACCTCCAGCTTTTTTTGGTGGTTAATAGGAAATAAGGGTTTCATGGACAGTCCTTCTCTGGCTTGGCTGGCTTTAAACCAGAATCCTGAGTAGCTAGGATTACACAGTTCCACCATTTTGCTGGTTAATGGGACAAAAGAATCTTTTGGATATGTCTGTCTAGGCTGGCTCCAAACAGCAATCTTCAAAGATCAGCCCCTTGAGTAGCTAGGATTATGAGTGTGAGCCACTGGTGCCCAAGTGCTTTAGTTATTATTAGAATTATTTAATAGCTTCTTGCATTTTTGCACAGGGCTAGAGTTTGTTATCCATCCACCTAGGTCTTCTACATTGCTGAGATAACAGATCTGTACCATCATGCCTGGCTTGTTGGTTAAATAAGGTCTGGCTAACTTTTTTGCTCAGTTTGGCTTTAAAATCTCAATCATTTCTACCTCTGGTTAGTTGGGATTTCAGGCATACACCACCACACCCAGCTATTAAACTTTTTAAAGAAATGCCTAATAGTTATTTGAAGTGACTGTCACTTTGCATCTTCACCATCAATGTATGAGAGTTCCAGCTCCACACCTCTACAAACACTTAGTTTTTAAACTTTTAAAATTTCATCATTTTATTAGGAGTTAAGTAGTACCTCATTTCATTTTAATTTGAGTGTCTTTGATGGTTAATGATGTAGAGCACTTTATCATGTGTTTGTAGATCATATACTTTCTTTTGTGAAGTATTACTTCCATATTTTGCTTTTATTATTATTTGTGTGTATGTGTTTAGGCTTAGGGTTAAGATTAGAGTTGAGGTAGGGATAGGGTGAGTATAGAGTTACAGCTAGTGGTAAATTAGTGTTGACTAAGTCATTTCATATTTCAGAGTACATAATCTTGTGGGAAGATGTCAATGACCTTTGCTGTGTGAATGATGTTAGGAGAGGGGGATGGATAGGTTTAAGGGGTAGGATTGGTGATAGGGTTAGGGAGGGGGTAGGGTTGGGGTTTAAGTGTTGGGATAAGACTTGGTGTAAGGTTAGGTTTAAGGTTAGGGAAAGACTTAGGATTAAGGGTAGCATAAAGTTTAGGGTTAGAGTTAGGATTAGAGGTAGGATAGGGTTAAAAGTAGGGATATCAGGTAGGGTTAGGATTAGAGGTATTACTGTGGTTAGAGTTAAGTGTGGTGTTATGGATAGGGAGGAAGCAGAGGTTGGGTTAGAGTTAGGTTTTTCTGTAGGGCTCTGGGCAGAGTTAGGGTTAGTGATAGGGTTAGGTGCTTTATTTTTCAAGTGTTTTTATTTAATATGTTTTATTTAATCTACCTGCTGAAATAATTTATTTGTACTTCTTAACCATGTCAAATTAGGATTATGTATTTTTGTTTATGGGAGTAGTACCAGTGTTTTTAATTCAGTACTTGGTGTTTGCTAGGCAAGCACTCTATCACTTGAGTCATTCCTCTATCTATTTTTGCTTTCATTATTTTCCAGATAAGGTTGTGTGTTTTTTCCTTAGACCATAATTCTCCTGTCTCTACCTCCCACGTAGTGTAATTACAGGTGTGTATTGTACCTGGCTTGCTTGAGGCAGGGTCTTGATAACTTTTTGTCCAGGCTAGCCTCAAACTACAATCTTGGAGTAGCTTGGATTATAGGCATGTACTACCATGTATGGTCTCCCAATATGTATCCTTTGTTCAAATGTATTGCATAGATTGCGACATGGGATAGATTACCTTTCCAGAAGCTCCTCTCAGTCATGGTGAACTATAAGACAAGATATCTAGCTGCCATTCCACCTGTTTCTCCTTTCCCTTTTCATGCCTTTTCCAGATGTGAAAATCAGATATTTACCACAGAGTCGTGATATAAAAGGAATTAGGTAGAATATTTGACGAATCCAGCAGGACATTGACTTTTCTTCTTTCCCACTCTTCTTTCAGTGATTTTAAAGACTGTTTGTTGTTTGGCAGTTCTTGGAAATGTAACTATGAAGAAGGTAGATAGCATTGCTGAGTAATTCTGTAGTTGATGGCTTGTGATTGAGTACTAAAGTCAGTCCACTTTAAGCAGGATTGTATCTACCAAATTCGTATTGATATTGTCCCCTCCATAAAGAAGAGGGAATATAGAGTTTTCCTGCATTTCTTGTATATTCATAAAATAACCTTAATTACTTTTTTCTTTACCTATCTTAAACTCTTGCTTTAGTTAAAAATGTTTACCTTGTATGTACTCATTATGGCAAATTTTTATAATTTAGTTTACCATCATCTGTCATATGAACACAACTTAATACTTTGAATTCTCTTTTTAAGGCATTGTGTCCAGATCGGGTACCTTGACTTACGAAGCTGTACACCAAACAACACAAGTTGGATTGGGACAATCTTTATGTATTGGTGAGGGATTTTTTTCTAAAACTCTTTAATTGGAGTATAATATCTTTATTGAAGGAGTATAATAGTTATTACATTGATTTAGTTATTTGTAAAAGGTTTTGATACCATTTTATTAAAAAATTGTGTGGTCTTGAATTTATTATGTTTATGTGTGAAGTCCTATATTTTTTCTAGATTCATGGTCGAAGATTTGATTTTTAGGTTGAGACCAAACATTAAGGGATGTGTGGCTGGACAGCCTTTGTGCCTGAAAACGTTGCTTGTTTTGCTTGCTATGAAGAACTTCCTTATATTAGGTCTTTTGTTATTCCCGACATTATGTTAATGTGTTACATAATTACTGAATTCTTTGCCATTAACTTTCTTTTTTTAATTTTATATAAGTATAACAAAGTTAAAGTAGGAAAAAAAGAAAAATGGGAAACATTTCTTGTTCCCTTTGTGGGAAATGAGAGTTAAAGACTCTCATTGTCTCATTTTTAAGGCAACACTTTTAGGTACTTCTGAACTGACAACTTGTTTTGTTTTGAGCACAAAATCAAGGGTGAGGAAAGCTAAGTTCCCTAGGAATTCTCTTGCTTCTATACCATGTTGCTTTTTACTTTAAGAAGTAAATCTTCCAAGTTGAGTTTGGAGCTGGGCTCTTGCCTGTAATCCTAGCCATTTAGGAATCTGAAATCTGGAGAATCACAAGTTGAAGCCAGTCTGGGCAGAAAAAGTCCGTATAGCCTTCTGGCTCCAAAGTAACCAGTAAAAAGCCAGGCTGGAAGTGGTTCAAGTGGCAGAATGCCAGTTGAGTAAGAGTGAAGCTTTAAGTTCAAATGCCAGTACTGGCAAAATGAATGAATGCATGAATGAGTGAATAAAAAATAAAGTTTCCTACAACTTGTTACAGTTCGAAATAATTTTTCTTCTTCCCCCTCCAAAAAAGTTAGACACATTTCTAAATTAGGTACATTTATAAAATAGAAGTATTTTACAAGTATTTCTTTAAATCCTAAAATTATAGAATTTCTTTTTCCTTTTTGGTGGTACTGAGGTATGAATTTAGGAGTCAGCATTTGTCAGGTTGGCAGTTTGCCACTTGAACCAGGCTTTCAGCCCTTTTTGCTCTGGTTATTCTTGAGATGAGATTTTGTTTTTTGCATTGACTAGCTTGCATTATAATCCTCTGTTTATACTTCCTGTATATATTGTATGATAGGCACATGCTACTCTGTCCAGCTTTTCCAGTTTAGTTGGGGTCTCACAAACTTTTTTGCCCAGGCTAGCTTAAAACCTTAATCTTCCTAGTCTCAGCTTCTCATGTAGTTGGGATGACAGTGATGCACTACTGCTCCCAGCTGTTCCTTGACAAGGGATCTTGAGAACTGGTCAGGTCTCAAGCCAAGATCCTTTCCCAAATAGCCATTCGTACCTGGAAAAAAAATAACATTTTTAACAACAAAAGTTTATAGAATATAGCCTTGGAATGTTTTGAAAATACTGAAAACCCATAAATTTTGTGCCAGAAACATTAATTGAGCCTGTTTACTTGTGCAGCATAATTTAGGCATACATAGGACAGTTTAGTGGGATGGACAAAGGAAGAAGCAGATTTGCTGATTCCATTTTCCCCTGCTTCAGTTTTTGATTTGTAGATGGAGAATAGTAATGCCCACTTACCAAGAGGTTAGGCAGGTTTAATATGTATTGAATAGAGCACAGACTTTGATCCTTGGTTGGCACTGTTTCTCTTCTTCAACTTCATTTTCTGCGGATGCATTGAAAAGTAAGAGATCAGACTTGCCTTCAAATTTGAAATTAAAAATAAAGAAAATTTCAGCCAGTCTGTAGGGAACGTTCTTTAGTATTATGTCAGCCCTGTCCCTTTGTGCAGATTCCTTATCACTATATCTGAAGCAAGAGGGCCAGGATACCTGCTCCCCTGTCACTTACTGACACATATCTTCTATTATTTGTTTTTGGCAATAATGAAGTTTGCACTCATAGTAATGAGTGCTGGCTGTATACCACTTAAGCCATACAGGCAGCACTTTTGCTTTAGTTATTTTTCAGGTAGTGTATAATGTGTTTTTGCACTTGGCCAGCCTTAGACCTAGGCTGCTTGTGTAGCAGCTGGTATTACAGGTTTGCATAATCACATCCAGCTTGTTAGTTGAAATGGAGGGGAGGGGGTGCTCCTGGGCTTCCTCTGTTTGCCTCCTGAATAGCTGAGATTCCTGGAGTGTGTCACCATGCCTAGATTTGTATCTTAAAATTTGTAAATGGTTTCTTTTTAACATGCTTTATGAGGTTGTTTCTTTTTACAAAGAAATTTGCTAAATGTCGAATTGTTTTCTTTAGGGTACTATTAACTTACAATACAAACATTTTCTTAAAGTGGTCATTTCTAAAGAGTTAATCAGGAATAAGTTTATGGGAGGAAGAAGCTTGTGCAAAGGAGCTATAAGAAAAAGAGGATTGTTTTTATCCAGTCAGGAACCAACTACCATTTACATTCATACTGTGATAAGGAGAAAAGTAGATTATTTTATATAGTGACAAATGTATGGTAACATTTTGAAATGTTAAATACAGGAGTGATATGTTAAAAAGCTTAGGAAGAAAGGGCAGACCACATAGAAAAACATTTAGAAAAATATCTTCTGACCTAAATTCCATGATTCATCTTTGAATTTTCAACATACGTTGTTGTTCTTCCACTTTCTCAGGCATTGGAGGTGATCCTTTTAATGGAACAGATTTTATCGACTGCCTTGAGGTCTTTCTGAATGACCCAGACACACACGGCATCATACTGATTGGTGAAATTGGTGGGGCTGCAGAAGAAAGTGCTGCAGAGTATCTGAAGAAGAATAACTCAGTAAGTGTGCCTTTGGGAAAGTAACTCCTTGCTCTTGATTAATACCAGATGCCTAGAACTGATTTCTAATTTTTGAATTGGGCCTTCTGTACTGAACAGTTAAAGACTTTTTCTGAGTTGGTTATCCTCTCCTGTTCTCAGAGCCTGTTGTCTGTTTCTCTACTCTGAACCCTGCACCTGGGGCATTACCTCACAGTGGTAGTGAATGAAGGATCCATTTATCAGATACTCTTGGGACTCCTGAAGCCCTACTTGAGCAGTGGCTGTGCATTTACACCTGTGGCTGATGTTATTTCCAGGTTGTCTGGCATAGTGTTCTTTGTCTTTCCCAAGGCTGGCTTTCTAAACATCCTAGCCTTTATACCCTTTTCTGGCCATTCAGTCTTCATACATTAGCAGGTTGAAAAGCTATACTCCACATGTTTTGTGGGAGCGCTTTCTTGCTGCCTCTGCCTTACAGTTAGATGTGGGAACGAGTGTAATGTTGTGCCCTAATAGCAGAAGGGAGTAAGCTTTCCTGGGGTGAAGTGGGAGGTGGAGGGGAGAGGAAGTAAAGTAATGCCTGAAGCAGCTTGCAGCCTACCTGCCTGAAACAGTTTGTAGCCATCCAGCCTTATTCAGTGACTGCTGTGGCCACTATTGTGTGCAAGCATTTGGGAAAAGCATGCAGATGACTTCCCAGATTCCCTCTGGTATCAACAAGGGAGTTAAAAAAAAAAGTCTTTAGAAGGCCAGGAAAGCCGTGGATGTACTTTTTCTTCATGCTTGTGAAAAGGAATTGGGAAGCCAATAAATGAAATGCCACAGCCACACAATAAATACTGGAAGTCAGAAGGGTAGTCATAATCACCTTCAGGCTGGTGTGCACAAGCAGTGCTCAATTACTTATGCTTTAAGGAACTTTCAAGAGCTGTTGTAACTATACTTGATTTTGTCCTGTGGTGATGGATTGAACCTAAGCCTAGACTTGTTTGTAGGATGTTTCTGGTTTCTTTCCTTACCTGTCATTAATTTTCTAGCCCTCAGCTGTCTCTTCTTCTGCCACTTAGAAGCTCAATAACCTTGAGAACTTCTGAACTTGGCTGCCTCATTTTCCTCATTGCAAAGTAGGGATACATTAGGGATACATGCCTCCTGGGCGGCGGGTAGTGGGTAGTGGTAAGAGTTGTGAAGCTTCAGTGACACAGTAACATATAACAAGGTGGTGATGCCAGGCACACAGTAAATCTTCTGTTTTAACTCTTTGTGCTGCCAAATTTCCCTACTCTCCCAACATTGTTTTTTCTGAAGTCTCCAGTTTGTACCTCTACTTTTTCTCCTAGTTTCCTTCTTCCTTTTATTTTTTATTTACTGTTTCATTTTATTTTCATTAATTTGTGGTACTGGGGTTTAAACTCAGGGGCTCATGCTTGTAAGCAAGCATTCCACTTAAGCCACATACCTTCTTTTCCTTTAGTGCTTTTTGGTTTATTTTTTGGATAAAGTCTCAGAATTTTTGCCCAGAGCTGGCCTTGGCTTGAGATCCTCTTTATAAGGGGGTTTTGCATCTGTGTCACTGTCCAGTTTGTTTGTTGACACAGGGTTTCACTCCTTTTTTTTTTTTTTTAATTGGTGTTGAACTGCAGTTCTTCTGTCTCTGCCCTAAGTATCTGGTCTTATATGATATGGACCTCTTCACCATGCCATCACGGCCTTTGTTCATGTGTTTATTCCTTAAGTGTGAATTATTATCTTGTGTAATCAACATCATACTTTATAGTTTCCATGGCAGGAACCACAGAAACTTCTATTTCTCATCTTGCTTCCACTCACTAAATTGTCTCCATGAGACTTCAGTGGTTGTCTGGACCCAGAGCCTCATCTGTAATTACTCCCTCTGCTTTGGTTTCAGTTCTCATCTCACCCCACTCTCGCCATCTCAGTAGTGTCCTTCTACTCTCTTTCTCTTTAAGGCCATAGACCCATCTTTCTTTCTGAGCCTGTGTTACTGGTTTTTGTCCTTTGAAGACAGACAGTATTTCCCATTATGTTTTGAGTTAAAGGCCATATTGAGCAGGGTATTCCAGTCCCTCACATACTACCTTAACCATCTTCTCAGATCCACGTCTTATTGATTTGCCAGTGTGCATTCTCACTTGCCTGTGTTTGTACCTTCTGCAGATGTAGTCATGTCTAACTTGCAGTCTGGACTATAAATATTCTTGGTGCCCAGACCAGTCTCCTGGCACAGTAGACACCAATTAATGCCCAACAAATGGAAGAATTTAGTGGATTTGTTAGGAAATTAGAGGAGAATATTACTAGGTTCTCTTGAATTCAAAAAAGTTATAAAGCTTAAATTTTAGATTAAAAACAGGTTTATTTTGAATTACAAAGATTTAGGAAGAAAAAAAAAGATTTAGGTAATACAACACTAAAGCATTAAGGTGAATATTAAGATGTACTTAGGTCCAACTCTAAATCCCTTGAATATTAGAGAATGGTGGGAATACTAAACATGTATAATTCCTATTCATCATTAATTTTTAGGGTCTGTAGCTTAGTGCTAGATCACTTGACCTAGTATGGGCAGTGTCCTGGGTTTGATCCCTAACACCACAAAAATAAATAAATTAGTCTATTTACTCTTAATTAATGAACAATGACTCTTGTTGCTTGTTTTTTGAAATTAACATTAATTAGCTATACAAGGGGATTTAATTGTGATAGTCCCTTGAATTTATACAGTGTGTTCCAGTCAGTCTCCATCACTTACTAATACAATTTCAACAGATTTCAACTGTATATTGCCAGCAATCTATTTTGACCATATTTATTCTCTTTTACCTTTAGCCAAAACTTCTCTTGTTTCTCTTTCCCTTCTTCAACCCTTGGCTGATCAACAGTAAGGTGTTATCAAGGGTTTTTCTAACATATTCTGTGAATTAACTCATTTTTGGTGCTAATCTTGGGGCTTGAACTCAGGGCCTGGGTGCTGTCCCTGAGCATTTTGCTCAAGGCTAGCACTCAACCACTTAAGCCACAAGTCCACTTCTGGCTTTTTGATGGTTAAAGAAAAGAGTGTCACGGACTTCCTTGCCTGGGCTGGCTGTGAACTGTGATCCTCAGATCTCAGCCTCCTGAGTAACTATAATTATAGACATGAGCTGCTAGTGCCTATCTCCTCTGAATTCTTAACCTCTGATCTTGTGTTACAGAAACCCTTAACATAATACCTGGCACAGAACAATCTCATCAGATGTTATCTGTAGATACTATTGTCATTATAAGAGCACATTAATTATTTGTAAAAATTGTGTTGCTTAATCTTTATCTCCAGCCTTTGAGTAAAATGTGTTTGTCCTTCTTTGAAAGTGAGGCTTGGGAAGGTCAGGGGCTTGTCAGACAGATTCCAGTACAGTGCTGACTTCATCACACTGTGGAAAGATGAGCAGTCAGACCACAGGAGAAAGACAGAGTCAGCAGTCCTGGGCTTGGGCTCAGGTCACCCTGATGCTGTCCTAACTGGTCTTTTAGTTCTCAGACTTTCACCTTTCTCACCATACCATGTCTTTTTGCAGATTTAACTTTCCCCAAGGTGTTTTTCTACACCTTGAAAATCTGTAGTGACAGAAGTGGCAATGTGGCTCAAAGTGGTAGAGTACTACATTTGGGCAAAAAAGGTCAAAAGTAGTGCCCAAGCCCTGATTTCAAGACCCCAAACCAACAACAACAACAAAAAATCTCTAGTGATCTTTCTTTGGCAGTGGGCAGAATATAAATTTATTTGACATTCTAAGCATATCATTATCTTTTCCTTCACAACTTTGGAGGCATTGTAGGAAAGGGATAAAGTAGAAATTAATATCACTCAAATATGAGATTCTCATTTTTTTCAGAGAGCACGAGTGAGAGGACAGTTGTCTAGCTTATATGGCTATAGTTGTATAGCCTTGCATAGCTAATTTATGCTAGTTCCAAAAAAGAAACAACTAATGCAAGATCAGCTGTCCACTAAGAATAAATGACTTGATGGAGTCCTTTTCTTTCTATACCACAGGCACTGTAGTAAGTTTTGGACAAAGAGAAACTGGTGAGCACTAATCCCTGTGTTCAGGGAGCTCATTGTTTCCTGGGAGAACACACTGGAATAGGCTTACATCCAGTTTAATGTATATATGAGTAGAAACATGGCAGAGGCAGAGTAGGGCCACTGGAGAAGTTATCAGGTCTGAGGACATGTATAGAGAGCATGAGGAAGACAACAGGAAGGTTTATAGAGGATGTGATATGTGATCAGTGCCTTGGGTTTGACCCCTAACAAGATGTAAGCAGGTCTTTGGAGTTAAGAAATAACTTTCTAGATATCCAGGTGGAATGGAGAATATTGTGAGCAAAAGCACAGAGGTAGAGAAGTCTGGGTTCCCAGAAGATAAAGAAGAGGGATGAGCAGTGGGAGCCAAGCCTAGAGCAAGCCATGCTAGACCATGCAGTACCTCCCAGGAGTCAGGGTAGCAGCGTGGTACCAGTTTTCCTTCACTGCTGGCTACTTGAGATAAAACAAAGTCAGTTTCACTTAAGGATGTTCCTAATGAAGCAATAAAATTGGTCAGTTTTATTAAATCTTGGCCTTTGAGTCAGCATTTTGTGGTAAGCTTGGGAGTAAACCATTGTACTGGAGCTGTGACTGGAAGCGACTGCTTCCACAGAACACCAGTGTACTTGGGAGAATGAGTGGCAGACACACTTGTGTATTTGGAATACCTCTTTTCAAAAATGATCAAAGTGAGTTTTCATACCAGAAAAACACAACTGATAGTACTTGTTGCTAATGATAAATTTCAGCTTTCAAGAGAATATTAAAATTTTGCAAAATTTCTGTCTGCCACCATAAACTTAACTTCTATGCATTTAAGCTTTTCTAATGAGATTTGTGTGATACTGATAAATAGGTGATACATTTGTATTGAATGATCAACTGTGTCGCATTTAGAAGATGTTTGGAACACAACATAAACTGGTATTTTCAAACTTACCAATGAATGTTGCAAATTCTTGGTAGAGCCACTCAAAGTGTAAAAGGATTAATGGATTTTAAAATGAAAAAGGACAAATTCATTGTTAGGCTTCAGATTCCTACATTGCCTTTAACCTTTGAGAAATTACTATGTGAAGAGGTTTGCTTAGTATCAAAGAAGAATGTTAACAGTTAAATATAAGGCAGTTAAAATGCTTCTCCCTTTCCAACTAATGTCTGTATGAGGCTGGATTTTCTTCATATATTTCATCTAAAACATAGCAACATTTTAAATATAAAAACATCATGTATTAAGATAAACAGAATTGGAAAAAATTAGCTATAAAATGCCACTTCCCTCACTATAATTTTTTTTTTTTCAGTTGTGGGGCTTGAACGCTGAGCCTGGGCACTTGTCCCTCAGCTCTTCAGTTCAAGGCTAGCGCTCTACCATTTGAACCACAGTGCCACTTCCAGTCTTCTCATGGTTTATTGGAGATAACAGTCTCACAGACTTTCCTGCCCAGGCTGGCTTTGAACTGCAATCCTCAGATCTCAGCCTTCTGAGTAGCTAGGATTACAGGCATGAGCCACTGGTGCCCAGCACACTACAATGTTTTAAAAATGCCATTTAGAAATTTACTTTTTAAGTGAAATAATGAAGATTTATAGAATTTCTTAGTGTTAATTTCTAGTACAGTGAAAACCTTTGGTTATAATCTACATAGCATAGATAACTCACAAGACCTCAAATGCCCAAGTATGCTAGTGAATGGCGATTGATTTGGGCAGGGGAAAGCCATCTCATCCACAGTTTTTTTTTTAACATGCTTTGGTAAGTTCAAAAATACCAGTTCATTGAGTTACGAACATCTTGCTAATGCGGACACAGTAGATCGTTAAATGTCAGCATATCACCTGTTTATCAGTGTCACACAAATCTTACTAGAAGAGCGTAGGTGCAGAGAAGTTGTTAAACTTACAGTGTCGAATGTAAGTTTTCTAAAATTTCAATATTTACCTGAAAGCTCAAATTTATCATTACCAACAAGTACAATCAATTATTTTTCTTAGTAAGCTCATTTTGATTTTGGGTTTGACTGGCTTCTTTTTTAGATAGTTTAAAATATCACTTTCTCTCCAGGGCCCAAATGCCAAGCCTGTAGTGTCCTTCATTGCTGGTTTAACTGCTCCTCCTGGCAGAAGAATGGGCCATGCGGGGGCAATCATTGCTGGAGGAAAAGGTGGAGCTAAGGCAAAGATCTCTGCCCTTCAGCAAGCGGGAGTTGTAGTCAGCATGTCTCCTGCACAGCTGGGAACCACCATCTACAAGGTAAGCAAGACAAGTGAGACCCTTTTGAGGTAGCCACAGTGGAGACCTGGAAACCAGGCCTTTGCTTCTGGGCTTGAGTTCATTTTATGCATTCTCTGTACATAGCATAGTAAATCTTAGAGCACTTCATTAATGTTCTAATGCCCTCAATGAAAGACTTTCTAAATAAAAGCTTTCTAATTTAAACATAGAGTTGCTCTGTAAGTACACCAGCAATACATCAATATTACTTAAAGCCTCCTTTACAGCTTCTAGGTTTAGGAGGAGAAAACACTTTGGAGGACTTAAGTTCCATGATCTCCATTTTGGGATATGGAGGGCTTGTGTATAGAGTTCTTGGCATGACTCAAGAAGTTTCTATTTCTAGGTGGAGGTGTTGGAGACTCAGTACAACAAACAAAAGTATGTGAAGAGGTAGTTGGAGTAGAGAGAGGTATAAATAAGGACAGGGAGTCAGCCTTGGGTTTTTCTGGCCCAGGCTGTGTTGTGATACTATGGTTGCTTTCAGTTTGCTTTCTTACAATATTGTAGTTTAAGATAGTCTAAATGATCCATTGTCTTTTACAATCTCTTCAGTAATTATTAGCCTGTCTATGTCTTCCTCCTTTTAATCTTAATTGGTTAGTCATGTATTGAAAATATGCACAAATTAATTTTCTCAGAGGGGAATTCAGAATCCTGATTTTTGTGTGGTCTTTTTTTGCAATGAACACCTTGCCTTAGTGAATTTTTGCATATTCTGTGTTTTGTAATGTGCCACTCTGGACTGTAGTGTTCAAAAAAAGTCTAGGGGGTTAGTAAAGGGTGTGAGGAAGAATTTCATTTGAAAGGAGGGGAAAAGGGGAAAGCAGCTGCTTACATTCAGATGGCAATGTGTGTTACCACTTTGCCCCAGTAAGTGGCAGCAAGCTTCTACGCATTTTGTCTGTTCTGATTCTGACAGTCTGGAGAAATAGAACTTCCAGTATTGTTTCCTTCAACGAGACTTTGTTTAAGGTATTCATTTGTTGCAAAACGCTGAGTTTATGTTTAGTTTTATCTTCTGAGAACATAGGCAGACTGTTTCTACTGCCTTATTGAAAGACCTGTCATGTGCCATGGTATCATGGACCTGGACACAGGGAGGCTCACCAATTCCTGATACTAATATTCCAGTGAAAACATCAGTATTACATCTTCCCTCTGGGCTTCTGGGTTTAGGAAACAATGTTGAAGCTTTATATCTAGATTTGAGCTGACAGAGAAATTTGAAAGCTGTTATTTTGTGTTCAAGTACCCTCATCCTGCTACATTTTATTCTATAATTTGGATTAAAAGATTCTAAAGATAATTATTTTGACTGTGACTATAATTTTGGATCTCTCATCACTTTATCCCATCTTCTCCCTCACTTCTGTTTCTGTAGGAATTTGAAAAGAGGAAGATGATCTGAAAGAACAACAAAAAAAGTTCCTTAAAACTGTGGAATAAATGATAGACTTGTATACCAGAAGCAGTTTGTTTCTGTTGTCTACTGATTGTCAGCCCCTGTGCCCAACACTGATCTTTCAGTACAACGAGAAGCCAAACGATCTAGAAATTGAGCTATTTTCATCTATTGTCTAACAGAGATGGTCAATAAATTTATTATTTGATTTGAATGTGTTTTGGAGGCTTATTATTATTGCCATGTGTCAGATGATAAGGAATGTAGAGAAATGGAGGGATTGTGTATATTTGTGTGTGTGTGCTTTCTGTGGAGAACATCGAAATAAACTTTTGCCAGAATGAGGCTGTCAGAAGTGAGTATAACATTTGCCTTTGATAAGACTGTGAGTCTCGGGGCTGGGAAGGTGGCTCAGCGGTAGAGCTCCTGCCTTGTATGCCTGAGGCATACACATAAGCACCACATAAGCAAAAAGAAAAAAAAAGCCAGAAGTGGTGCTGTGGCTCAAGTGGTAGAGCGCTAGCCTTGAGCTGAAGAGCTGAGAGACAGCATCCAGGCCAGAGATCAGGCCCCATGACCGAACCTCCCTCCCCCCCCCAAAAGACTGTGAGTCTCTTTAAATCATAGTTACCTCGTGTGTGTGTGTATGTGTGGGGGGAGAGGGGCGTAGTTCAGAGAGTTAGAAGTATATACAGTCCTTGGCATGTAGTAAGCAATTGTTTTTATTGGCTGTTTTCCCATCCTCTCCACCATCCCCATCATCATGATGATTACAAATAGCTCAATTGTGTTTCAGTGTCTGCCTGACTGGGAAGCTTTTGCCTCATTGAGAAATGGAGGGTCTTCACTGGTGCTATGATTTCCTGAGGCTCTGTAGGCTGTCCCCTCCTTCATCTCCTTCCCCTTCCACAGCCTATATTCTAGCTTAAACTTTCAGGTATTTACTGCAAGAAAATAGGACTACTGTTAGCCATCCTGCTTTGTGTTTAAAAGAGAGCTTGCTGAGGAGAAACAGTTCCAATGGTTAGTTGTCACTACATTAAGACAGGCCATAGTGCCTGTCCAAAGGAACTTATTCTGCAGAGGGAGACAAAATATCCTCAAATTGTGTAAGTACTCTGAAGAAAACAGACATGTGCAAATAATCCTAGGGAGAAGCTCTTGAAGAAAGTCTGGCAGGGGATTCTTTGTAGCTGGGGTGAGGATTTGAGGGCTGCGAAGGCATCAACCATGCAAAAGGAAGGATGGGTACCTAGGTGACAGGAATAGGTTTTGCAAAGGTAGGGAGGGGAGTGCTCAATTTGAGGAGAGGGGCAGACATCATGTCACTGGGAGGAGTAAATGGTATGGGGAATGTTTTTTATGAGGAAACATTCTGAGGGCCGGTGTGATTGTCTGGGCTACTTGGTAGGGGCACAAGGAACAGGTGTCAGGATTTGGAGTCTGGTTGGGCTTAGGGACTCAGCAATCAGCTTTGAGTTCTGTGGATTCTGTAGCTGTTTCTTGAAAACAGGGATAATGATGCTTATCCAACATCCTGTGTTGAATATATGCATGGCTGGCTGTGATGGGGCTTGGCATATACCATAAGCCCTGAAACTTGTCAACTGCTGTGATATTACTGGCCAGTGGGGGAAGACACTTCATCTCTTTCTTTTTATTAAAAAATTTTTTTATTGTAAAGATAAAATACAGAGGGGCTATAGTTACATGAGTAAGGTAATGAGTACATTTCCTATTGAGCATTGTTACCCCTCCTTTGTTTTTCCTCTACCATCCTTCCCCCCTCTCCCCCGACCCCCAGCCAAAGTTGTAAAGTTCATTTTCAACATAGTATTTGTACATCTCATTGTTAACAATGGGTCACCCTGTATCCTTGTTTCAGCATTTCATTATTTTTTTAATTAAAATTTTTTATTTTTATTTTTTTTCCCCACTTCATCTCTTTCTAACTAGCGTCTCCAACTCAAGGTCCAACTCAAGCCATTGTGCTTTTGTCTAACTCATTGGGGCTTTGCAATTGGGACACAGTTCAAATGAGAGACACTGCTACCACAAAATACCACAAACTCGGTGGCTTAGAAAACAAACATTTGTTTTTCATAGTTTTAGAGGCTGGAAAGTTCAAGATCAAGGTAATGTAGGGTTGGCCCCAACCTTGGTTTACAAATGCCATCTTGTATTTGCTCATGGTTACCTCTTACAATGCCACTAATCCCTTTAGTAAGGGCTCTCCCTTTTGACAATTACCTCCTAGAGGTCCCACCTCCAAATACAGTAACGTTGGCTTTCAACCTGAACTTAAGAGACATAAGCATTTCACTCTAGCATGAGCTTAAAGGAAGAAATATTTCAGAATTTACTTCTACATCAAGTTTTTCTAAACCTGGTTTAGCAATCAGCCTTGTTCCTTGAGCATTCTCTCAAAACAACATCTCTTTCTTCACCCCTGCTCCAAAGATCTCAAGTGCCCCTTTTTAACTTCTTTATTTTTATTTTTTTATTGTGAAAATACTGTACAGAGGGGTTACAATTACATGGGCAAGATAATGAGTACATTTCTTATCAAGCACTGTAGCCTCCTCCTTTGTTTCCCCTTCCCATCCCTTCCCATCCTCCCCCTGCCCCCCCACCCAATCCTCTCCCCTCTCTCCCCCCCCCAAAGTTGTAAAGTTCGTTTTTGACATAGGACTTGTACTTCTCATTGTTGCAACAGGTCCACCTGTATCCCTATTTAAACGACTTGTTTTTCCCCTTCCCCTCCACAAATTATACCCACATCAAATACAGTGAAAGCAGGGGTTATACTGTGGGGGAGGGACATACAAAGCAACAAAGAAATAATCTTATAAATGCGTTAGAAACAATCGCATGAAAGAAAAAAACATTTGAATACATATCTTAGGTTCATTTCCCTAACATTACCTTATCTGACCTTTTCTGCTTGACTCAGACATATACTAGATATTGCAAATAAGGGAAACCATGGGACCTTTGTTTCTTTGGGCATGGCTTCACTTAACATAATTTTTTCCAAGCCTTTCCATTTCCTAACAAATGGGGCAATGTCATTCTTTCTGATGGAGGCATAGAATTCCATTGTGTATATATACCACATTTTCTTGATCCATTCGTCTACTGAGGGCATCTGGGTTGGTTCCATATCTTAGCTATAGTAAATAATGCTGCAATAAACATAATTGTGCTGGCCCTTTTTAACTTCTTATCCCTCCCATTTCCCCATCTTTCACATTCATTCTTCTTTTTCCATGTACTGTGGCTACAATCTCCCAAGATCTTTGACAGCTCCACTTTTCCCAATTATCTGTTACCTCATTTGCCTCCCGTGACCACCATCACCTCTGAACTGCTCAAATACCAGGCAGAACATTTTATTCTAGTTTTACTATGTCCATTGCACTTACTGGCCCAGTACATTTTTAAAACTACAAAAACATTCAAATAGATGAGATAGTATAGTATACTCCTGTGTACCTATGACCCACCTTTGAAAAGTACCAACATGTCTCCATTATTGTAAAATCTGTACCTACAGTCCACCACCATTAGTGATTTATTAGTGTTGGTTCCTTGAGGTACAATTTACATTCGTTGAAATGCAGAATTCTCATTTGATTAATGGATTTGATCAATGAATTTGATAAAAAGATGAACCCACATCCTTTTTTTTGGGGGGGGGGTCTGGTCGTGGGGCCTGAACTCTGGGCCTGGGCGCTGTCCCTCAGCTCTTCAGCTCAAGGCTAGTGCTCTACCACTTGAGCCACAGTGCCACTTCTGGCTTTTTTCTTTTTTTGCTTATGTGGTGCTGAGGAATCGAACTCAGGGCCTCAGGCATGTAAGGCAAGCGCTCTACCACTGAGCCACCTTCCCAGCCCCCATACCCTTTTTATAATATAGAATATTTCCATTATCCCAGAAAGGTTTTTCCTATTCTACCCAATTGTTCCCTCCCATAGATAATCTATATTCTTACTCAGTTTAGTTTCATTTAACTTTATTATGAAAGGAATCAGATGTTGCCTTTTTTTGTGTGGCTTCTTTGCCAATACTGTAGTTGCCAACATTTAGTGATTTTGGTCTTTAGAATTTTAGCCATTTAGTAGAGTTGTGAGTGGGACTACATCCTGTTTGACTTGGTATTTCCACAGGAAGTAAGCTCAGGGCATTTTTGGAGTAATATTTATGTTTTCAGGGTAGTGCCTGGTATCATTTTGCATTATACCCTGTACTAAAGAGTATGGTGCCAGGGAATTGATTTTTGATGTTTTCTTGGAGGTGGTGAGAGATAAAAGGGCATTTGCATTGGGCTGTTTCAAGGCAGTAAGCTTACTTGTCAAGTGTCCCATGAGACAAATGAAGGTAGGACTGTTCGAGGGAGTCAAGGTGGTGGGAAGGTAGCTGCAGAGCAGCATCCTGGGGGCTCAAGAGGGACGGGCCTGGGGCTGAGTGGCCAGGCTTAGGAGGCTGGACCAATGAAATGGCTTTGGAGAATTTGAGATTCATGCTCTTAGCATCTTGGAGTCCTGGTGGTGCTGGCAGTTTTAAAGCCTTTGACTGCAGGCTGTTCTCAGTGGCTTTGCAAAATAAACCTCCTGAGGTTCGGCAAAGAATATTTCTCTCAGAGTGCAGAGGCAGATTGGGACTTGTACCTGAGGCCTGTTGTTGGAAGACACTGGCCAAGGACATAGTTCTGTACACATGGTTTCCATGGTTTTTGTCCCTTGTATCCTGGATTACACAGAGGGGCTGTCACAGAGCAGATCTGGAAAGCTTTCATGTTTCAGCTAAGGTTCAAGGAGGTGAGGGCTAAAATCCACACGTAGTTTGGCAGCAAAATTGAAATTTAAGGTCACCTCTCCGGGCTCTCAGGCCTGTGCCTTGCTTGGCAAGGGGCATGGACAGCAGGGTTCCTGAGCCAGTCACAGTGAAGTAGTTCAGAGGTGAAGGGGAGGAGCTTAGGACAATTAGAATTCTCAGGGAGCTTGTGGGCCACAGAAAGTGGCTGTGAGCTATGCATGTTGGAACTGTACCTATTGTAGAAGTGGAACAGATTTTCTCTGAGAGGATGCATAGTCAGTGTGTTGTCTGGTCAGGAGATGAAGGCTTGGCAGAAGCCAGGACCTTGCTTTTGCTTTTATGACTCAGAACTCAACTTTCTCACGGGTGAGCTGACCACAGACCATTGAAAGGCCA